TAAGGAAAAATCTAAATAAATTTCATTAAAAATTGATTCGAACAAAATTAAATATCAACACAAAAAAAAACAATAAAAAATTAAAGAAAAATAAAAATAATTTTTAATGTTTTCAACAAAATATTTTTTGTTTTATAAAAATTATGAATTAATTTAAAATTTTTTTAAAATAATAATTTGTTTCCTTTTTTATTGTATTACGTTTTTGTAGAATTTAATGAAAAATGAAACATTGACAGCTTAGGACAAACTGAATCCAACAAGACTGTCAGGAATCTATATATAGAGTTAGAGAGTTGGTTGCTATAGTTATCTAAACTGAAAAGATATCACATGACTAATGAAAGTGAATTTTCGAATCTGTATTAAAAGCACGTGTTCTATTCAATCAAGATATAAACCAGTTAATTTAATATATTTACATATATAAGTATTTATTCGTAATAATGTTATCAAAATATATATTTAAAAAAAAAACTAAATTCCATCAGATAAGATATAAAATAATTAATACATTATATAAATTGCTACTACTTCGCTAATAGTGACACATGACTAATTACGAGCACGTGTTGTATTCAGGGTTGTATTAAACTACTTAATTCAATAATATCTAATGAATTATATAAAATTATTACTACATATTTATATATTAGTATTAAATAAATTATAATTTACTGCTAGTACTGTTATTATTTCATTCTATACTGTTTCACTACATCCTTATAGTAAAGTTGTCACTTTATGTAATTACATCTACTACGAAAACATTTATCAAAAAATTTTGTATTTATTTTCGTACTTTCTGATTGTTCTGAGTACACTACTGGGACCTTCTCTCCTCTTTTTCATCCCCTACATTTTTGTTTCTTTATCCTAGACCCTTGAGTAAGCTGATAATAAAGAAAGATGTCAAAATTACTTCATACTACTACTACTACTATTTTTATTATTACTGCTACTTTAGTAGTATTGATATAATACTAATTAGAGCAAGTTCTATTCAGTGTAGGCAGAATTGATTTAACACACATTTATTTTAAAATTAAATTTAGTATAAAATTAGTGTTTTAATACTAAATTTAATTTTAAATTAATATTAACATAGTGTTAATTTATGTTATATAAATTAGTAATATATTAATATTATACAGGGCCGGCTCAAACAACGGTTTTTCGGGCCTCAGACCGAGGCGTCTCGCTCAGAAGGACCCAGTACTTTCAAACTAACACATACTAGGTACTAGGCATATTATATACCGTGTGTACTATACAAAATTATTACCTCATCAATATTATATCTATATAATGCTAATAATTTTTGTAATATTATAATTATAATTATGTAGTAATAATGTACAGTGTATGTGTTATACAATATATGTAAATTTAAATTAGTACTGCATTATAATTTTATATAGTACTGAGTTAAAATTTCATCGCTATTGTAAATTATACTACATAAATAATTCATTAAAATGTAATAATAATTTATAGCATATAAAGGTGTAATATATATAGTATATATTGTATAAAGCAGTAATATAATATTTATGTTATCATATTACAAAATTAATTTTGATTTAATGTAAATGGATAAAAAACAAGAAACTATAAATCTATTACAATATAGTATAAATTTAAATTGGTATTAAATTATTATAATTTTATGCAGTATTGAGTTAATATTTCACCAATATTATGTAGATTATACTATATAGAATAAGTACTGAGTACGCATTAATTTTGTTTAGCATGTATAAACTGCTTGTATATATTTTATGTAGCATTAATGTAGTACAAATTTATATTGCATAAATTATGATACTGTATATTCATTTATAATTATTTTACGAACAATTCTTTATTATTAAATATTTAATTTATAAATAAATATAAGGTTATATTCGAATTTTAGATCTATATTTTAAACAAAAGAGTATTGTTTTGTTAACTTTCTTCGACTTCTGTTATGCATTTTTACATTAATTTATTATTATTAGCATTATAAAGAAAATGGGAACAGAAAAAGTTAGTTAGGTAATTATTAATTCATAGGAAAAGATACCATTTTGAGATATTTCATTTTTTTATTTTCCAGAATCAAACACAATATCCTTTCAAAATTTTATTCTGTAATTTATTTTGGATGATGATAAATATAATTTTTTATTTTATTTTATTACAGTATACACATGACTTTTATATATCAAAATATGGTTTAAATAAATAAATTTTATAAAGATAAATTTGATAATTTGATTTTTATTTTTCTAATAATTTAATGGAAAATTCTTTATTAAGTAAAGCTAAAGATTTGTGTCAACTGATCGTGTATATTTTTTCTCTAGTTCCATTAATCTTAACTTCGTTGAAATATATTTGAAAAGTACGTTTGTCTGTTGGCTACTTAGTTAAATAATTAAAAGACTTTTAATGTAATTTTTTGAAAGATATTTATCTTTTAGATATTCAAATAATACAACTTGATTTAGAAGTTATAACATATGTAACGTATCATTCTATTGTAAACATTAGTATCGTTCAATTTAATATAACAACTCGTATTAAATTATTACTTTTTAATAATTTTATTAACAAAAGTTATATAATTAAAAACATTAACTTTTTAATTTAATGTTTAATTGTTATTTAAAAATTGTTTAATTTTGGCATTTTTACAAAGGATAAAATGTCCTTTGAGGTGGGTTTACGTGTCGATTTATTGAAATCTAAGGAGTTAAAATAAAGAATTTTTAAAAAATAAAATTAAGTATTATAATTAGCCAAATTTTTAAGTTAAAATTTTTAAATTATTAATAAAAATTTTCTTAATATCTTTACAAACGATTAAAGTATTCTTTTTAAATTGGTTTTATTCGAATAAATCAAGTAACGGATAAAAAAATAAGAATATTTTTAAGAAAAATTATGAGTTTTAACCTTTTTAAATTAAAAAAAAATAACCTTTTGCTATCTTTCTCTTTATCAACTCACAAAGGATTGCAAGGGATTACAATTGATTCAAATAATGCTATTTATTAAATTTTAGTATTAAAAAAACAGATAAAAATAAAAATAAATTAGCGTTAAATTGAAGAAAATAAATATTTAAAATAATTTTAAAAAGATATATTTATCTTAATCATCTTTTATAATTATTTAAGTGATAATTAATTTAATATTTTACAATATCATAAAATTTAATATTTTAAAATTAACTTGATAATATATTTTCGGATTAAAATCGATCTTAATTTTGCTTTTCTCATTTATAAATTGTTCAGCTTACGGTTAAACTATTCGAATTATCATTCATTATCATACGTAGCTATAACATGGAGAAGGATTATATATAGTGTAAGCGTATTACAAGTCATTAATGCGCATAATAAACTCATAATTTACGTAAATATTTACACTGATTTATACTTAAGATAATGATTATTATTACAATACTTAATAATTTATCTCGGTTTGACAATAATTGCAATTAATTTTTAGGTTTTATTTTTTAAAAAGTGCTGTTTTAGAAACCAATTTTTAAAAATTTACGTTTTGTATTTCTCAAAGGTTTCCTATAAGCATTGATCTTGCTGGAGATTCATTCAATATTCTATAAAATCCTTTCTTGCATTCAATATTATCTAAATGTATGCTATGCTTAATTTAATTTTTCTGTATTATAATACTTGTTTCTAACGCTTCATACGATTTAATACTTCATTCTAATGCTTCATTTATTATAGTGCTTGATTTTTAATGTTTTTATAGGCTCTGATGACTATTGTTAATATTTTTCAAGGACTAATGCTTGATTCTAACGCTTCGTAAATTTTAATGCTTGATTCTAACTTTTTATAGACCCTAACTATTAGTTATAACACTTAGTAGATTTTAATGCTTAGTTCTAACGTTTCGTAAGTTTGAATTCTTCGTAAATATTGCATTTATGTTATAATATTTAAGTTTTAACGCTTTGTTGTATCTAAAATTTTATTATAACGCTTTAAAATTTCTATGTCTAACGCTTTCTGGATCCTGAAAATTTAAAAATTACAATTTAAGTTTATAACACTGACTTCTAATGATTTATATGATTTAATGCTTAGGTCTTTATGAATTATTAGTTATAATACTTTGTAATTTTTGTTTCGAATCTATATTTTGTAACCTCTAATACTTAAGTTTCAATGTTTTATAAATTGTTATATTAGAAATCTAATAATTTGAAAGTTTTAATGCGTTGCAGATTTATTGTTCATTTTCCAATTCTCTTGATTTCTAATACTTAGATTCTAATACATTATAAATTTTAATGCTTAAATGCAAAATTTTAAAAACTCCAATGCGTTATAAATCTAATTTTATGGCTTTAATTTTTAACTTTAATAATCAAATAGTCTTTAAATTATTAATGTCATAAAGAATTCGAATCTAAGCATTAGCATCTACAAATTATTAAAATTCAAACATTAATAACTAAGAAGTAGACCTCACAAAGCATTATAATCTAAACATTAGACGTGCAAAGCATTCGAATATTAATCATTATTTCATATGCATTAACTCAACAAAATATTAAACTGCAATAATCATAATTTAACGACGTAATGATTTTAATACTTATAATCTTATAATTTAGAAATTTAATGGTTCGACTGTAGTATTCACGCTTTAATATATTACAAACTTAAGCATTTAATTTCAACAAACAAAAAATTATTCACAATAAGAGAGCAAGTAAACAATATTTATCCCAATTAAATTCTACCTTCGCAATCATTCTCAATCAGCTTAATCTTCGTGTGAACACATAAACAAAATCTATATACCACATCTATAACAGTCACAGGGGGAAAAAGAGAAAAAAAAATCATCACCACACTGCATCACGTGTCGAAAAACAAGTACAACTGAAGCATTATAAATGAATGGGCGTAAGAGGAGGAGGAGAGTTGTTAGTAATTCTGTATAATTTTGATAATTCGTAGTGTAAGTATTATCCGGTCTTGCGTTGTTATAAACAAGTGATAGCAATGCGCACGCTCGTTCAGCATCTACAACGTTGGCGGTGATACGAAGAACCAGTATCGTCAAAGCTGTCGAAGCGAGCAACAACTCTTGTAAGCTGCTGTCGAAAAGTTCTCCATTATTACAATAATATTCAATTTATATACTACTTTGTAGACATAAAAATATATTATATAATTAATTATGGATGAAAATTATACCAATATGTCATCGTCATTAAGTACCAATGAATCGTTAGATGATAGAGAAGGTTCTAATACATATATATTAACATGGTGGCAACAAATGGCTTGGAGTTTATTGTTTGGTGTTATGGTATTAGCTGCTACTGGTGGCAATCTTATAGTTATTTGGATTGTGTTAACTAATCGTAAAATGAGAACTGTTACTAATTATTTTCTGTTTAATTTAAGTATGGCTGATATTATGGTGTCGACTTTAAACGTCATTTTTAATTTTACTTATATGTTAAATGGTATATGGCCTTTCGGATCCGTCTATTGTAAAATTTCAAATTTTATAGCAATCGTTTCGGTTGCAGCCAGTGTCTTCACTTTGATGGCAATTTCTATAGATAGGTAAGTCTATATAATTAATACTTTAATTATCTTACATATTTAATTTATAAATAAATATAAGGTTATATTCGAATTTTAGATCTATATTTTAAACAAAAGAGTATTGTTTTGTTAACTTTCTTCGACTTCTGTTATGCATTTTTACATTAATTTATTATTATTAGCATTATAAAGAAAATGGGAACAGAAAAAGTTAGTTAGGTAATTATTAATTCATAGGAAAAGATACCATTTTGAGATATTTCATTTTTTTATTTTCCAGAATCAAACACAATATCCTTTCAAAATTTTATTCTGTAATTTATTTTGGATGATGATAAATATAATTTTTTATTTTATTTTATTACAGTATACACATGACTTTTATATATCAAAATATGGTTTAAATAAATAAATTTTATAAAGATAAATTTGATAATTTGATTTTTATTTTTCTAATAATTTAATGGAAAATTCTTTATTAAGTAAAGCTAAAGATTTGTGTCAACTGATCGTGTATATTTTTTCTCTAGTTCCATTAATCTTAACTTCGTTGAAATATATTTGAAAAGTACGTTTGTCTGTTGGCTACTTAGTTAAATAATTAAAAGACTTTTAATGTAATTTTTTGAAAGATATTTATCTTTTAGATATTCAAATAATACAACTTGATTTAGAAGTTATAACATATGTAACGTATCATTCTATTGTAAACATTAGTATCGTTCAATTTAATATAACAACTCGTATTAAATTATTACTTTTTAATAATTTTATTAACAAAAGTTATATAATTAAAAACATTAACTTTTTAATTTAATGTTTAATTGTTATTTAAAAATTGTTTAATTTTGGCATNATATGTCTATATATACATGAATTTAGATGCTATTTTTGAGTATTACAAAAATCTGATACGACTAAGAGCATTATAGTCCTTATGGGATTGTATAGATGTTGAATTACTTCCACACCATCCCTTAAGGATAGTATGGAAGTAGAATTTCCTACGTCGTTTTACTTTATTAGTTCTGATAGACACTTCCTTCTCAGATTACTGCATTCAACTACTCAATGTCAAAAGTTTTTACCTTCTAAGACCTTTCAAACCCTTAAAATAAATAAGGGATATCATTTCTAACGTAATTTTACGCTCCTCATTAGTGCTTGTCATTTATCAAACTATTAATGGTGTGGGTTTTCACGCCTGGATTAAACAATTCCTAATCTTTAGGGATTACGATAACGATCTCTACCTGTTGGGATAGGTCGTCAGGAATAATTCGTCAATACTTCAACACGGATGATGTTATGGCTTTAACTTAGAAAATGCTTTAAACGATAATAAATTTAAAATATTCTATTACATCTATTAAATTATTTATGATATAAATTTTTATGTTAAAAATATTATTATTATATTTTAATAAATAACCACATCTTTCTTCTCCTCATGATATCTCTTCCTACGAATTTCCTCCCACTTATTATAGCATGTATTTTTAATAATATTCATTTTTATACCTAAATTTTAGAGCGTAAACACTTAATTTATAATATTTTTCTTTTAAATTAAGCTATATATTTTCTAAATCTTTTTAAATTATCATAATCTTAATGAATCAAGTAATAGGATACGTTATAAGATATATCATACCCTGTTAAGCTTCGATCGCATTTATACTTACTTATGACTTAATTTTTTTAAATTTTTGATATTTTTAAAGATTTTTTAACTTAAAAATATATTTTGGCACTCAACATCATTTATCTCTTTCCTTGTTCTCGTAATATCTCACTATTTGGACTTACTTCTCTCACCCTTAAGTCATTTTTCTTTCATCAACCCCCTTTTCTATTCTTATTTTCTCATGCTTAAACATTCAATTTACATTTTTCTTCCCCTGTCTACATTTATATAAATTCTTCTATTTATCATTATCATTCAGAAACAACACGCTGTAAGGAAGAATCCATTATTAAACTACTTCAATACCCTATTCAGTTTACATTGCTTCTACCCACATCTAGAATAAAATTATTTATATAATTTACAAGCTGATAATTTTATATTCTTAATGAATATTTGTAAATAAAATTATAATTAAAGTAATTAATAATGATCTAAATCATTCATTTTCCCTGTTGAGATTAATTATTAACGACATATCGTATAGAAAAATTACAACGAAATTTCAAAAAAAAAAAATGTGTTATTAATTTATCAGTTTAATTGTTAGACAATGTCTTAAATGATTTACTAAACAATAAATAATGTAAAATAATTAAAAATATATTAAAATTTTTAAAATATATCCCACTTTTTAAAATCCTAAACATGGACACGGATCCGTAAATACATGTAATTAACCTCGAAAAATCATCAAATGTTTACTAAAATTTTAATGAATGTTGTTAGAAAATATTTTATAAAAAAAAGGGAAAAAAATAAAAGAAAAATCACTCGAATATCTTATTTTTACTCTTCAATTTTCTTTAGAAAATGGTTTTATTAACAAGGAGTGATGTTCATGTTCCACACTGATGACGATGATTATCAAAAGATATTTTAGTTTTTCCAAAAAAATATTTTATTCTCGAAACAAAAAAAAATAAAAAATATATATGATTGAGCCTTATATATATTTTTCTTTTTGATAAACATGATTTTCAACTTGTTCATTTTGCCAGTTCTGCTCGTTATTTTGTCACATTTAGTCAATGATTGATGATGTGAACACTTTGATTTAAAATGATTTGTACTGAATTGACACTAATATCATAGAAATATAGAGAAAAATAAAATAAAATAAAAATAATAATCACTAGAAACAATTTTTATTAAAAAAACCGGAAAAATAATTAAAAATTAATATTTAATAAACAGTGCTTATATATTTTTTAAACGTTAAAAAATCATCACTTTACAATGAGAAATACAAAAAATAAGCTCACGATTGACGTCATTTTACGTCAGAATTTCAAAATGATTTCATTTTCTATATTTATTTTTGATATTATAAAATTTAAATGAGCTATAATCTTGTGTTTTTTCAATGCTTAATGCTACTTAGATAATTGTAATTAAAATTTTATAATAAGAAAATATAATTTTTTTATTTGATTATATAAAATTTTGGTTATATTTCGTAATCAATTCATTCTTTTAATAAAATTTTCCTCATAAACAAAGGAAACATTACTGTGTAATTAATCTCAATTAGTTTTCCTGCCGCGTATTCTGACCCCAGTTTTGATCATTCTAATTTCGGATTTGAAGGACTTAAATGATATAATGTATTAATTTTTCGGAAATAAATTGTTTTTTTTTAGAAAATTCTAAACTTCCCATAGAAGCAGAAGCGTTATGTTTGCAAATCTATAAACAAATTGCTGTTTAATTATTTAATTTTTTTAATGAAATTAAACGGTTTATTTTAAAATAAACTTTTTATATTTTTATAATTTAAATAATTATAGCATAATTTGATTTTTTTATGCTTTTATGTATTTTCATACACGTTGACTTCTCTGTATCTTGATGCTCTTTCGCTCTGAATATACTACATTTTCCATAAGTCATGTTTTGAATGCACGATGTCTTTAATGCTCTATATTATAAATAAATCATGTTTTAAATATCCCATATTTTGATTATATTTTGCTTTCAACATGTTAATCAAAGTGTATAGCACTAAATTATGTATCTTATATATATTTGATGCACTGCATTTTGAAAGCATTTTGGATATTCTTTATGTAATTTATGTTTTAAATAGTCTACATTTGAATGTATATTTTGACTGAATTATGCTTTTAGTAGCTTACATTTTGTATATATTATGTATGTAATCGTGTATATTACAATTTAAATGAAATACGATTTGATTGTTCTGTATTGGAAATATCCCACATTTTGAATGCATTATACCCTAAATATTCTATATTTTGAATATATCACGTTTGGGATGTACAAGTCGTTAAATGTATTAAGATTTTAATATTTAGAATATTCTATATCGCGAATATTCCACGTTTTGAATACACTACAATTTATAATAAATACATTATGGTTTAGATATTCTATATTTTGTACCGGTACATTCTGCATTTTGAATGTATTATGAGTGCATTATGCATTAGATAAGCTCTAAATTCTTAATATCTTATAGTTTTCATACATTACATTTTGAATTACTCTGCATTTTTAGATCATTATGCATTGAATGCTCTGCATCTTTGGAGTATTATGCTTTGAATGCTGTGCATCATGAATGTGCAATTTAGAGCGTCATGATTTAAATGTTCCGCATTTTGAATTCTGTAGGTCCTAAATGTTGTATGCATTTTTATACGCTGTGTTTTTGAATGAACTTAAATTTTGAAAATGTTCTACATTTTTAAATGCGTCTTATTCTAAAATGCACATTTTAAATGCTCTACAATTACCTAAGGAAGTAAATTTTGAAAACAGTACAATTTTTAAATTCACTGCACTTTGTCGATTGCATTACAATTTTCAAGTACAGTTCGGGTATTTTAACAGTCATGTTATAAACATTGCGCTCATAAATACATAAAAATTTTAAAATCTCTCCAGTTATTAATATGAATGAAATTCAGCAAAGAGACGATTTGAAAACAACTTTGTTTGGCTAGATAAGATTTATTATAGCGAAATGCGAATTGTTCGTGGAATGTTGTGCATTATTTAAATCTTTTGCAAGCGATTTCATATCGCGTATGCCAATGTTAATCCTTTGAATTCCATCTTGATTTATTCAAAAATGTATTCCACAAAATTATAATTTGTTTCTTTATAGCACATTTATTCTATACTCTCTAGCACCACTTTCACTCTAATTTTTAAAAATTTTTTATAATAAGAAATCATTAAAATCTATTTATTCTCTTAAATAAATTATTCTTACATTTTTTATAATAATTATAATTTATTCATTTTTTAAAAATTATAACTTATTTATTTATTTATTTATGACTTCTTTACTATCTTGAAATAC